TGTTAGAGGATATTTCACCTGGTTCTAATAAACCTCATCCAGGTATATATCGCTATTTCATCTGTTCTGTTATCGATCTGTCGATATAATGAAATACTTTAACATGCAACAATTATTTTATTTACTTTATATTTATATTATATTTAAAAATAAATGTGTTTACATATATGTTTGACATAATGTTTGTCATTTTTATTAGATTATTCTATTATTGAGTGAAGTTGACCTGGTCTTGTAATTTTTATTCTTCCTTTTTGTATTTTTTAATTATCGTTCAATTTTTTATTCACACATATTTTATATTTTAAACATTATGATTTATTTATTTTGATTTGGCTGAAGAAAACTCAGTAAGTGAAAAAGTGATGTCCCATCACTATTACCTTTTAAAATAAAACTTGTTTATTTTTATTCGATATCTTTTTATTGCTCATCTTGATTTCTTTCTTGTAATATTACTTTATGTAAAAACGATTTTATATTTTTCTATATTCATTGATACTTTTTTTTATGCGATTACAGATCTGCAAGGAAGGAACTCGCCGTCTTACTCGCTTCAGCAGTACCCTGTCGAAATTCCGTCGACGTCATTCAATTCATATTATAAGACGCAGTTTCCACATCTGTCGTCCTCCAATGCGAACACGTGCATTTATAATTACAACTATACAAACTCCGGTCACACGTATGTTTCGACTTCGAAATCATTCGGCGGTACATCGCATCACTCACCGTATCTTACGAATTCGAGAAGCAGTGCGCTTCAAAATTCTACGCCCACACGGTATACCTCAGATCAGCACAGCACGCCTTACCTAAATTCGCATTATGCGAATGCAAACTATCAGCAGCTGTTGTCAAATCAATCGCAGACGAAAGCGCCGCAAAGCATAATATTTCCCGAATTAAACAATTTAACTAATGAGGAATTAAAGAGGCTCAGCGAAGATGACGATAAGTTGGACGACTTTCTGGAAAAACATTCCCAAATTAAAGATATAAATGCAGCGATCGAAGATGCTATGGATTGGGTTGAAAAAACTGCCGGTAAGAACAGAAATATAAATTTTTACTATTGAAATATTAAAATCGCAGAAAAACTATTCTGTTATTTCTATTAATCCTGTCTAAATTTTAACTTGCGGGAAAAGTTAAAATTTAAAACTTAACGCTTCTTCTTCATCATTTCGTTGAGACAGAAAGAAAACAAAAACAACAAGTGCTAGAACTTAGTCCATTGATTGGCTGCTCTAATATCTATCCTTTTTGTCTCACTCAATGAGACAGAGAATGTTTAACTCACAAGCTAAGTTTTGGACAGACCTGCAGTTTAATCTTTATCTATTTAATGTTCTCATTTAATTGCTTATTAATAAATTTATATCTCTTCTCATAGAAGCTAATGCAGCTAAAGAACCCGAACTGAAGCAACTGCAAGTTGATGTAGCAGATAAGGTGAAAACAGTGGCAGCACTGAAAGCTAGATATGACCATCTCATACAACGATACAATAAATTATCCGAGGTTTTTACGCCGGATCATATAAAAGAATGTTTGAGACAAGCAGCAGACGAGAGTCACGAAGAGAGTGAGCAGATTGCCGAAGATTTTCTCAACCGGAAGATCGACGTCGAGCGTTTTCTCAGCACGTACATAGAGTGCCGGAAGCTGGGTCAAGCTAGGCGAACCAAGGAAGAGAAACTGGCGCATCAGTTGAATGAATTGAAACGAGCTGGTTTCTGAAATGAATATAATATATATAACCATTTTTTTCTATGAAGCGAACAAAAACTGTAAATAAGACTTAGTTAAATTAAACGTTATTGTGAATTTAAATTTATAGCATTCGTGATTACCAGATATCTGATGTGGCTAGAAGATTCGACAGAAGATTTGGTGGAAACGTATTTTGCATAAACATTACGTTGAATTCGCTTTTTACTTACGCTGCATTTTAAATTATTTTAAACCGCGTAGCATTCTAGAATTGATAGATATATACATACACACAAGTGGCGCTAAATGCATGAAGTGGTTAAAAACCGAGAGTGCTTTAAGATTAACTTTTGATGGAATACATTACACATTGTATTCCGGACAATTTAATGAGATAAAAAAAGCAATATAATGAATTAAAAGAATTAAATCCGCGTTAAAACCGTGTAACAAGTTCAATTGCATTCAATGAGTACTTATTTCATAGTGAAAATAACAATGGCTTTAATTATATTAGTTTTGCACAAGTGACATGTGTACTGTCGCGATTAATTCTGGTACAGAGGTACGTTTTTTACTCTGTAAATAAATGTGCAGGGATGTAATTAAAATCAATTTTTGAAAATTTGCTATTCGATGACGTTATTTTTAATTATTTATCCTATTGATGTTCCTAATATTGTAACATATTGAAAAATTATATAGATATATGACAGAAAATGGAAAACAAAAATGTTGAACTTGAAGAGATTTAAAACCCTTTTCCTTTCGGCTAAAAAAAAAAACAGCTGGAAAATATTAATGGTTAATATGATACTCGTCATATTTGATAACATTTATTATTATAAATTTTATTATTAATTTCTATTTATGTATACTGAAAGAACTGGTCATTCAGATGTCAATGAATATTTCACAATATATATATTCCAGTTTTATCATCTCTCGTCATAAATTGGCAATATTGCTAACTATGAAAAACACGATTAGGTATGCATTTTCGGAGTATAAAAATAATACATTGATTTTATGTGTGTGTGTATGTGTGTGTGTGTGTGTGTGTGTGTGTGTGTGTGTGTGTGTGTGTGTACAATATATATATATATATATATGTTATATATATAAGCAGTTTTCACACATCTGTTAAATGCACTATTCAGTCCATCAGTGGCAATTGACGTCGACAACACTAATGAACACGTCCCTGTAGAAATTATGATTCTTTTTGATACCGCGCGCTAGTTTTCTCTTCTTTTGATACTTTTCGTTCTTGATACAGTGGCAGTACATTTTTTAATAAGCGATAGTTTACAGATTCACAGTAGATTCTATCACGGATCCACGAAAGAGATCATGATGTAACGTGTGCCCGCAGTCACTAGCAATCCCTCGTGATAGTGTGTCAGTCTTCCAGGATGCATCAGCATCCAGCCTGGCTTCGTGTCGGTAACCGAGCAATTGTATCGAATGAATCTACATCCACCACCTTCATAATCCACTCCCGCTTGATTCAGGGCGATATTGATGGTGTAGGTCGAAGAATCATGATGCGGCCTCAAGGATGGTTGCTCATCCGGGCGATATCTCACAACAAAATTCATGAGGGACCGTGGTGGCTGCCGACATAAAATTAGTATAACATATGGTTTCAAGTAAAATGATTTACAGCAACTTTGATTGATACATTTCCCAAGCATAGAACAAAAAGTTATCATAACATCAAAATAACTCCAAAATAACTCCAAAATGTTATTAAAAATACATTTTTGATTAGTCATGTTTTAATATTATTTTGATGTTATCATGACCTGTTGTTCTTTGGATTCTCAAATAACATGCACAGCGGTGTAAAATCGACATAAAATTCAGTAAAATTTTCAAATCTCAGTTAAAATATCAATCGAGTTACTTGGGAGGGGGGGGGGAGAGAGGGTCTTAAGTTATCATTGTTTCTTAATTCAAAATCTACATACAACACAGAGATCCCAATCACTTGCTACGAAGCGGTACAACCTAGCTAATTAAACCATGTGCGTTTAGCGAGTGCATGTACCATTGTGAAATCTGTGCAAATTAAGATCCCTTTCGTATACCCAAATTTCAGAATCTTACGTAGTCATCATATCCTGTAAAGATATGTTCTTGCAAGGGATTAACATAATCTTTTAGAAACTTTAACCAGGCATCTTGGAGACCAACTTGATTCATGTGAATATCACGGGTTGGTACCGCTTCGTATCCGGATTCCAGTCGAGGATCCTAAAAAGACCAGTGAACATAAATAAATCTTACATCGTGAAAATAGCCGGTGAAGACGAGCTCCTGCAACGGCCTAACATATTCTTTCAAGAAATACAACCATTGTTGATCATATTGAATTTGATTCATGTGAATATCGCGGGTTGGTACGTTTTCGTAGCCACCCGACAATCGTGGATCCTGCCAAGAAAGTAAATCGCACAGTACAAGAATTCTAATAACGTTATTAAGCTAATTAGCGATAAAAGACTCATACGGAGTATTTCTCTCAACTTACGTGATTAGTTCCATCCGACCATTGTCCGAAAGTCTCAACGATTCCTACGAGCTCTTTGGTGAACCTGAGATTAACAATGGGAAACCAATAGACGTCCGGACATGGCTGCAAAAAATCAAGTTGAAATAGAATAGGAAGTAGGTAATATAAGTGATAATTAAGAGAAATTCTTTACGGCTAATCATCTTTACCTGTATCGGCTTCTTGTCGGGATTAAAGTTCTCACTGTAATTCGGATGAATGTATCTTTTTTCCCAGTCCAGCTTATTTTCTATGATCTGATACATGTCCGGATAAATAAGTCGGATGTCGTAGGTATCGGGATCGACGAGATGACCGAACTCGAGTCGGTTATTGACGTACATAAACAGGCCCCGCTGTCGATTTCCGTGGGCGAATGCCATCTCCGTGTCCAGGTCGCCAGTCTCGTAGGTTGGTCGGGTCGCCTTGTTTGCTATAATCGTTGCGTTGATCAAGTAGCAGTTACTGACGAACGGCACGTTCCACAGTCCCCTGAAACAGGCATCAACGTGATTCAACGAATTGCATATCAGAGCGCTTCGGAGAAGGCGTACAACGAGCGCAACTAGCAGAGAGTACTTGTTTGCCCCACGACTGGACACGATGCATTTGTTTTCCGGAGGTCGTCGCTTAAGTGTTTTGTAAGGTGATCGCAGTGGTAGCCGCGATTGGCCGTTGAACATACTTGGCAATGAGTTATGCATAATTATCCAATTGAGATTCATAACTCAGTACATCAGCGTGTGACTGCGCGCGTCGCCTCGTGGTTTCATTCGTATTTTAGGTGGTAGGACCTAGCGGATCCGTAATACGCTCGTGCCAGAGATCAGCCAAGTCCTCCGTATCTTCCTGGTAAGAATAGCGAAATGCTCTTTGTGCACGTTGATGAATTGCGTTGCGCTGCGACTACATTGTAAATTGGCACATTATTGCCTGCGGAACGCGATTCATTGATCTCATCATCGAATTTCTCACGGCCGCGAATCGATATAACATTATAATGTAACATTATAATGTAATATATATCTATACATATAAAAAGAGTAGTGGGTAATACTATATAATAGTGATAAATGAGTTCGCGATAAGATATATAAAGTGCTCGTGACAAGGCCCGCGTGCGTTGTTGGTTACTCTTCAGTCGTCCAAGTTTCTCTGGTTATAGATCAAATGACGAGATGCCGGCTGCTCTATTTGCTTCTATTAGCGGCCCTAATGATAAGCACAGAAGCGGCGAAGGGCGGCGGTGGTAGAGGGAGACCTCGCGGCCGAGGAAGACTGTTTGGCTCGCGAATGCACATTCTGATACCCAATCGAAATCCTGCGAGTACGCACTATTACGAGAACAAGGATGTGAGTTGACGATGAATGTGTATCTTGTGTATCTGTGCCACGATCTAGTGATACCATTTCTCGGATTTTTCGCAGGGTGCCAAGATCGTGAAGGCATCCCACTTCGAGCTGGACTACATGCTGGGCAGAAAGATTACGTTCTTCTGCATGGCGATCGGTGTTCCAAGACCGGAGATCACTTGGTTGAAGGACGGAATCGAGCTGTACCATCACAAGTTCTTCCAGGTAAGCTAATCCACAATTAAGATCTGGAATTGGTCTTCCCTAAAAGAAGTCCACTGTTAAAGATGGAAATTGGTTTCTCGGATAATCGCGAGAATCTGGAGATCGTTTGAATTGTCAGGTGCACGAGTGGCCTGTTGGTAATGATACGATAAAGTCGAAAATGGAGATCGATCCTGCGACGCAGAAGGACGCCGGATATTACGAGTGCCAGGCGGACAATCAGTATGCCGTCGATCGCAGAGGCTTCAGAACGGATTACGTCATGATCTCGTATTGAACGTTTTCCTTGATGGATCCGCGATCGCCATAGTATTAGAACAATTAATATCCTGTGTGAAAATAGATATAGACAGTTTGTTATTGATTTGTTACATAATAGATTTTTATTTGATAAGCAGTTAGTTTATATACTTGATAAAGCTCGGATCTAAATTAATAAGGGAGACAACCCATTAAAACTAGTAACAACATTAATTACAATTTTACACTCAATAATATATTACATATTTGTTACATAACAGTTACATTGTTGAGTACAAAATTTTAACACTAATGTTATGTTATTGTTAGTGCTTTTCTACCCTCCCCAGAAGGCGGTCGTGATATTTAAGAAATTAGTCCAACTTTCTACGTGGCGTCAGCGACGTAAAAATTAAAGTCATAACAATTTGTCTTTTTCCTTCTGACATGAACAAAATAGACCTCTTTTGGATTATCAACGGACATGCGAAGGTACGAAAACAAATCCGATGGTTCCCCCCTAATTGGTTAAAGCATGATTGACTGTTATAAGGGGATATGTGACGCGAGGAATATATCGAAAATGGTCCATCACTGCAAATTTAACAAGGCAATTGCAATGCGCGACAGTGGCATGGAAGGGCGTACTTCTCTCGCTGCGTCGCCATCAATGACTGCGACAATTTGTAGCACAGTGTGAAATAAACAATCTGCATGAATTATACGAACGCTGTGTATAATAATTACAATTATTTCTTCTCTATACAACTTCCGTTTCCCGGTTTTAATTCTTGAATTTGAATACGCATGACGTATTGTTGCAAATTTTAATTAAGACGCGTCGCAGATAACTAATTTAAAAGTCAATTGTACCGGAAATCTGAGTCATCCGGAAGGAATGGACAAATGGTTAAATTAATGGATAAGCGCTCTGCATATTTGATAGGAATTGATGGCGATCATGTAGTGCAAAGGAATAACCGCTGTGCATATAGTCCGACATACATTATCTGCATATAAGTCTGTAATAGATGCGAGAGGACACTAGGGGAGTAATGAGTAGGTGACTGTCAGTTACATCGGAGTTCCGTGTGATCTACGAACGCTACAACGTACAGTGAGTATCTTCAGCCTATCTCCGCTATAATAAATAATAATCAGGCGACAATTTTCCGCACCTTTCTACAATCTCATAATAACAGACTTTAATCTCGATTCATGTTAATTGTGGATCATGTCGATTCAAAATCAAGTGATATAAGCGATACGAATCTGCAAGTTTGAAAAATCGCATAAGATATTATGTGTAATGTTCCATTTTATTCCACTCTTATTAGATTATCATGTCACGCTCCATGCTGTTGCTAATCCTACTGGGTATATTATTGCTCAATTGCCAAGAAATACTTGGTAGAAGAGGACGAGGAAGGAGCAGGAGCAAGTCTCGTGTGCAAATCGGATTGCCTATTACTGGAAAGTATCGCGATCCGGAAAGCGATCAATATTACAACAATAATAACGTACGTAGAAAAAGAGATTGCTCGAGAGGAACATTTCCGTTCTTTAAGGACCGTTGTTTAACTACTTTAAGGTGTATCAATTCAGAGAAAAGCATAATGACAATGACGACTATATAATGACAATTATATAAGTTTTATATTGTGTAAAATTAATATACATAATGTAGTTAAATAAATTATTTTATAGTTGAATAATTACAAGATAATTTATTCAACTATGCATATTAATTCTCATATAAAATTTAAATAAATTTAATTAAATAATTTATGATTACTATCATTGTCTCTTTTTCTGTGCAATGCAATAAGAAAGAGATCATTATCTTAATTTAATCTAAAGTCTCAATGTAATTTTCTCTTATTGTCACCTCTTATTATCATATATTAATTTCTTTTAGGGAGCCAAGATACTTCTGGCGTCGCATTTCGATCTAGAATACGTCCTGGGACACAAAATAGCTTTCCTCTGCGTTGCTCGTGGCAATCCACGTCCGCATGTTACGTGGTTCAAGGATGGCGCCGAGATTTACACGCATCACTATCTACATGTCAGTGAATATATGCACATTTTCAATATAAAAAGCAACAATATAAAATTATTAATGTGGAACTGCGAAGAGCAATCAATTGGATTGCATCTACAATCAATAATGGCTTGATATTTTATCATTACTAACGGTATTTCATTCTCTACAGATACACGAGTGGCAAGTCGGTCCTGACAAAGTGAAATCGAAACTCGAGATCGATCCCGCTACTCAAATGGACGCGGGGGTCTACGAGTGCACGGCGGATAATATGTACAGCATCGATCGAAGGTCTTTCAAGACTGACTTCTCCATCGCTTTCGATTAGTGCAAGTGTATGGGAGATCGCAACAAACACGTACAATTAGATAAGAAAACATATAAAGCCCAGGTAACACGTAAATTTTTTACGATAAACCCTAAAAAAAAAAAAAACGATTTAGAACGACATTGTACGACTTGCACAAGGAGATTAAAATTGTCTTAATCTGGAATGCGAAAAATTGTTCTCTCTTATTGAAACGCAGCATTGAAATCGGCGTCTATCTAGAATAATAATAGTCGACGCTTCCTTTTCTTCATGCATACATATTGTAGTTCAAGCGAAAAATATAGAGGATTGATATTTGTATGTTTCGCTTTACCTGCGTTCGTTTTTTATTATCTCCATGTAATCAAAACTCCGCGCGTAAAATCCATCATCCGTTATGGCGCCCCAGAAATTGCTCCACGCTTTAAATGGACGTATAAGCAAGGGCGTGACGATCCCTCTCTGCTGTTCCACTAGTAATTTCAACGTGTGCTCATTGTCCAGATGCGCAACTGCGTCGATTGACAGATATCCGGAACACTCCTTCAACAAGCAATGCTCCCTGTGAAACAGACCGCTTTTTAGCATTCCTATAGTCACGCATCCCTTCACTCGCTCTAACGTTACATAGTATGTATGCCTCGAATCTTTAAATCACACACAGACTTTTATAGACCATTTACATCGATTTTTATAATAAACTCATATTGTTATATTTAATGTTGGATAAAAATCAAATTTTATTATCACGTACAACATGTTATAGCATATTTTTCAATATTTTTGTTTAAAATTATAAATATTATCTTTTATTTATTTAGATTAAATCACATATTCTTACTGCACACTGCATATTATCTCTCAATAAATATAGTTTCCTTCACATTATACCGCGAATTTACTAGATATTAGCAGTATAAAAGTCTGTACTTTAAATTATATTCGCAGAGTTCTGCTTACATTGCCAACTTCCTCGCGTCAACCTCGCTGACATCGTCGCTCGGCAATATTCGCTTCGCGCTCAGGTATTCCTGGCCAATCTTCTCAAAGAAATCATCCACCACGTCTTCGTGATAAAGAACGTTATTGTGAACAAACAGATGTAACTTCGACTTTGGATAGTATTGGCGATAGATAGTTCGGAAGAATTCTTCCAGAAACGGCGTAGGACGCTCGATAAAAATGGCTATTAGAATAACCGGATATATTTTCGGTTTGATCTTGTCGAGTTCTATAGTTTGATCCCAGCACGCCAAACACCCTTCATCCGGCGTCCAAGCGCGGGCCAGATAATTGCCTAAGGAATTTAAGACCAGCTTGCTAGGTCCGTTGCCATGAAGCACCAGGGGCACTGTGTTGTAAATGATGTTTTGAAGATAAGCCTCTTCTCCCTTGAACCTGAGCTCCACATCGGCTATAAAAGATAATAATGATGATAGTCAGCAAAATGTTAGTAATTGCTTACAGATTGCTGATAAATTCAATCAAAATATTATAAATTGGCGTTAACTATATTTGCATCAAGCTTATGTTTTGCCGACAAAATTTGCTGATATAATATGAGAGGAAATTGTCGGCAAAGATCTCCAAGTTTCTACACGAACCAAGCAAAACTTTGGTCAATTTTAGTTTTAAGTTTTTGTCAATTTGAGGCAAGTTGTCAGCTGTCAACAAGTTTGCAGAGATTTTGCTGACAATTTATTCTTATATTACGTGAATAGATTTTGTTGTATATCTGTCACTAATGCTAACATCGAATGATATAACAGAATGTGAATCAAATTTGATCGACAAAATTTGTAGCAAATATCTGACAAAATTTATTTTTGATATACTTGATTGATATTTTTGATATACTTGAATAAAATACAATTACTGTATATCGATGCTTTTTGTTGCGGATTCCGCTTGTTCTTACCTACCGCACCGTAGAGATTCTGAAATATCTCAGATTTATGATCTAGCTTGATCTTGTACCGTAATCTAAGCTCATCTTGCAGATATATGGTCGTGTAAAATAACTGATCATCGTCTTCATCCTTGATAACAGCGGTCTCTAAGATTTTATACATATCGGACGCATAACCGATGAAACCACCGGAATTCAAGTATCGTTTGCCCCTTGATACGGGCGGATACTGAGTTGCCAGGGATTTATCCGGCCAGCAATACGCCTCCGCGGAAAATAAGACTCGAGCGTCGGTATCCAGGAAACGCTCGATGATGGTGGATAGATCGCCAAGAAATATAACGTCATAGCTAAAAGCAAGAAATATACACATTATAAAATATCTTCTCTAACAAAATAGTTCATATGACTCAGGAGAGTTCAAATAACATTGCAATATTACTAGAATGTTTCAATGTTGTTGCAATATTGTTGAAATATTCCATACTATCAGGGAAGATGTACTCACCTATCAGTGAACAAAATAATTTTCTTTTCATCATTTTGATAATCCTCCAAGGCTTTCTTGAGGAGATTAATTTTATATCCACCACCGGCATAACGCACAATGTTACCGCCTTTCCAAGGCTCGCCTAGACCAAGGACGTTTAATTTATTATGAAATCCATGGATCTCGGCTGATCTCAGATATCTTCTGAAGCCATCTGTTTCGTTGGAAGCAACAGTAAATACCAGGACATCTAAAAAATATATGTTATAATTAATTGCGAGATGAAGAATTAGAACATGATAATCGAAAACATTTTTTAACAAAAAAGTTACGCATAGGTCTAAACGTTGGAATCATTTTTTCAATGATAGATATAGCTTCAACACACATTTTTATCACAGGTCTCATTGAAAAGAATTGAAAGAGTCTAGTGATGTTTTGCTATTTCTATCAACGTTTCTGAAATAATGGCTTTTTATCTAAATCTGTGTGTAACTTCTTTTGTCAAAAAGTATACAACATACAGAAATTATCATATCTTTACAAAAATTTTTTCTTTGTCTTGTTAAAGTTGTCTCTTTAAATTGTCAAACTCATACAGGAAAGAAGATCAAGCGGATTGACAAAAAATTGTTGCGAACGATACTCGAGGATGAATCGTCCTTGTGCATCGGGATTACGGTATATCGATTCCTTCATTGTTCATCCAGCCGGTGAACTCGTTTACATTACGCCAAACTCGTGATGTCATGCCGAGAAGTAGCGCCCACAACAGCCGCAGCACACACGCTGGCTGTATTGAGAGAGAACACGCGTCTCCAGCGCTTGTATTACTAAGCTGTCGATATATACTTACGCAAGCAACACGAGATATTCTTAGAACGTAGAATTCATGGAAATTTGAAGAAACGCGCTTTCAGAGCATTTCGTTTCAAAGGCGATTAAAGGAAAAAGAAAACTGTTAAATTAACAGCCTCCTTGGATTTACAAGAAAATTGTAAAATTAAAAATGCTTATAACATATTAATGTATTCAGCAGAAATGCAGCTTTATAACTATCGTAATATTTTTTAGTATGATTATATTAGTATTACATTTAGATTCAGTGAGGATCTATATAGGAACAAGACTAATCATATTAAAAAATCTTACAACAGTTACAAAGTCTTATTCCGTTGAATGCTGTTAATAATAAGATGAAATAATCTAGTAGTTATATCAGTTGAAATAAACGATCAGCGTTAATTTAACGAATTATAAAACGTCGCTGAATAAAAAAATTTATAATAATAATTAGAGTATTTCTCGAGTCTCGCATCTGCTTGCGCGATGAGCAACGCCGGAAATGTAATGATAAGAACCGGTCCGATTGCATGCCAAAAGAACGGAATTAATTAAATTAGTTCACGTTCCATAAATGAAACGATCACATCACGTGTTCATTATATCATTCAATCCTCATTGAGAGTCTTGAACGATAAATTATATTTCTACGCATGAATCATATAGAAGCCGCATTTTGTTTTAATATAACAGACATTATTGTGTTCATGCTATTATGATAAAAATAAAGAGCAGCGTTTATAATCATTTGCACAAGCAGCGATTACGCAATGAGATATATTCGACTTGAGATCACGTGTCCCATAGATAGCCTTTGTGATCCATTTCTTGACTGCTCTTCGACTCAACATTTATTTGCGGAAATTGTTTCCAAAAATTCAATTAATCAAACATACGATCGTTATAAGTTAAATACAATTATATATTTAAAAGTTTTGTTCCATAGCAAATAGAAACAGTGTGTAAAATTTTCCAGGATTATTATGTAGTTGTTAGCATTTTATTTAAGCTGATGTTAGTGAAGGTAACGAGCTGTGTAAAGTGTGTTTTGCGGATAAAGTATTATTTCAGGCACGCGTTGCCTGGAAGAGAAGAAGAGCCGAACTCGTCGCCAATTGAGGTCTACGAACGTTGATCATTTCTCCACTTTCCCTTCCAAATTATAAATAAATATGTATTACTCGAGTCATTTTCTGTCGTAAATAAGCTTGCGACTGCTTTCTTAGGAAGATCGAAGAAATGCGGTTGTGATTAAGATAGGATCCTCCAAAAGAATTTCTGAATGCGTAGGTATTCGGAACACCAGTTTTAAAAGAATAAAAAAATAATAAAAAAGAGAGAGTTGTAGAAGAATCCATCAAAGAATTCTTTGATATTGAAATCTTCAATTCTCTTTTCACTATCGTTGTAAACGATTCTGATAATATATTTTTGATAGAAAACTATACATATATTCTTTTTTCATTAATAATATATTAATGAAAAATATATTTGATGTATTAATAATACATCAATTAATAATACATCATTAAAGAGAGCTGTGGAATAATTTTGCATCCATGTTGTGCAAGCAATAGATCTGGCTTTCTCAATTACATTTCTATCTTTTTCTTTTTTCATTTGCCTAAAAATATAGTCACATCGAATGAAGAAAGTGCAATATAAGCGCGAGAGATCTAATAGATCACAAATAATCATCTGAAGTTTAGACTTAGTTTAAATTAAACTTCTTTCTCATTAATGTTTCATTAATATAGACACTTTATTAAAGAACTGTGAAAATATAAAGTCTTCATCCATGTTATGCACAATTGCAATAGATCTGATTTTTTAAATTGCAATTTTACTTTTCTTTTTTTAATAGATTGTTATATTTCAAGTGCAGAAAATGTATGAGTGACTAAGGAGATTGATAGTTCACATACAAAATTTAGATTTAGTCCAAATAAGAGCAAAGAAGTTTTCTTATTAATTTTTCATTAATAATTCAATATATTAAAGAGTTATGAAATAATTCATTTCTGTACACAATTGTATGCAGACAATAGATCTGATCTTCTCAATTGTCTCATCTTTTCT